TTGAAGTCGCGGCTCCTTGAATTTGAGACTAATATTTTGGTTTTTGGAGAGATTTTTCATGAAGACATAACATTCTCAATCCTAACTCGAAAATGTCTCAAAAGTTCTTTCTGAGACACAGCAAACCGCTTATAAAAGTGGCGCATGTCTTATTTTTGTGTGGTTTAGAGCATTTTCGAAAATTGCAAACCTTCTGCGTCTTCTTACTTCTACAATATTAAAGATAGAGACCTTTGAAATATCTCTCACACCGTTAATATGCACATTTCTGATGACGTTTTTCAAAAACTCAAGAAAAAAAAACTATATAAAAGGGCGGACAGTACGCGCCTTCCGCACAGCTGGCGGAAGCCGTCTATCTCACCCAGCCCACGCGTCATCCCACATAGACAAAGTGTACTAAGAGACGGATTTACGCCTTTCACAGCGCATGAGCCATAGATCTAGCGCCTCCCTGAGCGATCCCGACCACCCCCCCCGTAGAGATGTCCACGGAAGACGCATACAGGCCCATTGCGCCTGCACCTAATCAGCCGTAAAAATTCGCACGGCACATTCAGAGGTGTTCTACTTATACGATAGCAAATTTTTCGAAAATCGAGAATAAAGATAACTTTCGCAAACTAATCAGGATACAAATCTCGTACAAATTTCAAGATGCAAACAGAAGAGCGGGAGTTTCATCGAATGAGGAACCAAGATGTAGTTCAGAGCTCAAAATTGTCCTAAAAGCGATCGAAAAAGTGGGTGTGTGTGCGAGATTGACCGTGAGATGCGAGGTTTGCAAGGAACAAACGCGGGGGAAGCAAGGGAGAGGGACGGATGTGAGACAATGTTCAACCACGCAAAGACGCCGATGCGAGGCAATTCCAGACCACGGAGAGAGGCTGATAATTACCGACTACAAAGAGGGACGGACGCGAGACGAAAAGCTATCGCGAGAGACTTCAAACGAGCCACGACAACGGAGAGTGTCACACGCGAGCCGATTCACACCAGTGAAAGCGATGCCAAGAAACAGCCGAAGTTCTCTCGCTCGTCATTATTGAGAACTGTTAATTTACACGCGGTGAAGTAATGGCGCTAGCCACACGTGGTCCAGCTGCGAATTTGGTCTCCCGACACCGCGAGCGGAATGATGAGGGCAGCTACCACACTGCAGACGACCGCCACGACATCGTAATCAGTTCGCAATCAACGCCACACTGGAAGGTTCGCTCCCCCCCCCGCTCTCGCGCGTTCCAACGCAGGTGCAGCATCATGCGTCCGACCACACGTTGCTTCCTTCGGCAACCGACCTGACTCACAATCACCTGGTTTTACCAGGTTTCACCTAAGTAACAACAATAATTCTTAAATGTGTTGGTGGTAGAATTTCATTCACGTATTCAGATTTAAAGGCTGAGTTAAGAAGATTAATGGATGGGACAGTGTAGAGGCTTAAAGCGAAGCACTTGAAAAGGTTTTTTGTGTTCATGCTAATTTCCAGCCACTAATTTCTATTTCAATAAACGAGGTGGAATCCCATCACGAACCACATTGTTAACAATACTACTTTATTTTGTATTAATAACCAACAGAGTACACTTTGCCCTGTGTATTCTT